AGACACTGCAGGAAGACAGGAAGAAAGCTTAATTCCTGACCTTTAACACCATATTAAATGATGTGGAGTGTACTGTCTTTTTTCAGTAGTCATGCATATTTCCACAGCTTTATTTTTAAGTTGCTGTTTTTCAAACCAGTGTGGTAGCACACACCTTTAATCACAGCACTCACAGCACTCAGGAGACAGAGGCAGATGGATCTCTGGGTTCGAGGCCAGCCTGGTCTACAGAGTGAGCTCCAGGACAGCTGAACTACATAATGAAATCCCGTCTCAAAAAACAAAACAAAACAAAAAACCCTGCTGGTTTGTTTTCCAGCCCTGCTTAGTGTTGACACATGCACTACACTTTTTTTTTTGGTAGAAATAAATTTACATCCTAATAAGTGAACCAACCCACATGGTGCCACAACTAAATTATACAGTCTAATACCGTGTTACTCTTTGACTCAACATCAGGAGATAGGGTTTTCTTGCCCTGTGTTCCTAGTAGTGCTTCCATGCTAGGCAAAGGGAGCAGGGGTGAGGGGGTGAGGGCATTTTTACCAGTTCAGAAGCATAGTGCTAGTTTCTACAGCTAGTACCATAGGCTTATTATTATTGTTGTTGTTGTTGTTGTTGTTGTTGTTGTTTCTTTTTGAGACAGGGTTTCTCTGTGCAACTGTACTGGCTGTCCTGGAGCTCACTCTGTAGACCAGGCTGGCCTCAAACTCACTGAGATCCACCTGCCTTTACCTCCCGAGTTCTGGGATTAAAGATGTGTGCCAACACTGCCCAGCAACCATAGGCTTATTATTTACCTGGAACATGCAGTTAGAGGAACAGGAGAGGACTTGGCCAAAACTGACTTTGAAAGTGTGTTTGGGGGAGCAACATTTACCATGGCCAACTTTATTCACCTTCTGAACTAGCTAGCCATCAGAGAATCGTAGGACCTTTCCGTGAAGGGTGAAACTCTCAAGTTCCCATAACTACAGTTCAATGTTTAAAGTGTCTTAGCTGGATGTCTTTTGGTCTGTTTCATGGTGCCGTGTTTGAAAAATGGCTTTTGCACAAAGGGTAGACAGGAAGAAGGGAACAACAGAAAGGAGCGTCTGCAAACAGAGCTGCTGGAAGCCCGTTCTTCAGGACCTAGCCTGGTACTCGCCACTCTTTATCCAAAGCGCTTTATTTCCTACAAACACTTTTCCGCTGTTCCAAAGGTGTCAGAGGCTCCGAAGATTAAAAGTGCTGTGCTTTTTAAAACCTACTGAATGATTTCTCATCTCTAACCGTCCTGAAGTCTCGTCATGCCAGCCTGTGTATGACAAGCTGCCAGGCTTATGCATAAAAACTCTAGACTTTTCGCTGTGCCAATCCATGGGTAAAACTTACTTCTGGAGCTGCGCAGCTGTTAAAATCAGTCATATTTACAATTTTCATAAATGAGTTTATTTTAATAAAAACAAGTTGCTCTGTAAGCATGGTCTCTAGACAGATTTATGTGGGCTGGCACAATCTGCTGTGAAAACATATATGCATATTGCTGAAGTCTGCAACCTTTTCATTTTTTCAAGTGCGGGTAACAGCCTTGCTTTGTGCCAGGGTGCCAGCTAATTGGCAGCACTTCAGCCAGGGATACTGTTCCCAGCGCTGGGCCATTGAAATGGTTTTCCTGGACAGAAATGCCCTGTGGGAGCGACCTTAAACTGGGAGGCTTCTGGGCTGTTGGCTTTGGGGACTGAAGCAGGCTGACTGCTTTACAGGGGACTATAAACTGATGCTGAGAGGGAGGGGTGAGAAGAGGAAGAACCAGAGGGAGGGATGGGGAAGAAGTGAGGACCAATAGATGCCTCCGCTTCTGTTTCTTCCTCTCCTGCATCTCACTGTGATGTGTTTTGTGAGCATGTTTTTGCTTAGCATCTAGTCTGTGAGCTCCTGGAAACTAGAGCACAGCCTTCCAGATCCACAATTAAACCAACTGTGGATCCAAAATATCCTGAGAAACAAACAAACAAACTCCCCAAACGCTGCATGTCTGCTGAACGCATCAGCTTGTGTCACGGTATGCTAACCTGATAGGGTCGGCAGCTCTCTGCCGGGCGTGTACATCCCGCTGGTAGAGAGGATGTAGCTTCATGGAGGCATGTGCGCAGACTATATGAAAATACCACAGCAGTTTATTTGAGGGACTCGAACAACCCTCGGTCTTGGTATCCTGGAATGTTCCAGAACAGTTCCTTCTAGATACCAGGGACAACCGGATGGCCTAACTCAGCTCTACATCTCCTTCAGTGCCTGGCACCTGTGGTGCTCAAGAAGCCAGAATGTGTGAACAACAACAACAACAAAAAAAAAAAACCATGAATTTCTGTACTTGAAATATTTCTTTGCTCAGAGTTAAATCCTAAGATGGGACTCTCAGTGGACCTGGAATTGTCTCTGGGTGAGCATAAACTGTGTCACTTTTTTGTCTTATAGTTTCCTTATGACGGACCAAGTGTATTGCTTTATTATTTTTACTGATGCTAGCATTATCAGCTGCTTTCGATTTCTGTTCCCATTGGAAAAAATTACACTGATTTCTTAAATCATTTGCATAAGCAGTTTAAATTCTGAATTTGGTTCCAAGAAGCCGAAGCGCTGTCAAGTTTTTGTTTTAGGAAGGGGGACAGAGTAGGACAGGGCTGAGTACCTCCTCTGGTGAGATCATTAAGCCTCGGCGCACACGGGTTTTAGACTCTTAGGCTACAACTAAAATTATTGTGCACGTCGATTTCAGCAGCCAGGCCTTCCCCTCCAGCAACTGCAGGTTGCAGATCTTAGGAGTGGTGTGGCTTGGTGGAGCACAAAGGGTCCGTGATTGGGACTGGGGTGGGGACTAAGCATCCAGGCTCCAGAGAGTTCTCTTGCGTCTGTCCGGGGCCGCGAATGCGCTCCGAGCGAGTGGTTTCCTCTCGCCTTCGTTTGCGTATATTCATCCTAGCAGCGAAGAGGCGGTGGGGAAGACGACGAGGACCTCAGCGGGCGGCGCTGCAGGGCTGGCGCCCACCGAGCGCTCAGCATCCGTGCGTGCGCGGCCACGCTCAACTTTTCCCGTCCGAAGCCGGAGGGAGCTAGCTGCACGACTCGGGCTGGAAGGGGCGGAGCCGCCGCTGACAGGCGCGCGGGGGACTCTTGACAGCCGGAGGGGGGCGTGGCCGGAGCCCGGAGGAAAGGACACGCCCGAGGCGAGGCTGTGAGGGGCGGCGGGCGGGCGTGGCCTCGGAGGGGAGGGGCGGGGCCGCAGGCGTCCCGGGTCCAGGGAAAGGAGGGGCTTCTGAAGACCGAGGCGGGAGGGCAGCTTCGCACGACGGCGGGCGGAGCGAGTTGCCTGGGAGGGGCGGGGCCGCGCGCGGCCCGGAGGCGGGGCTTCCCTGCCTGGGGCGGGCTCCCACTCACAGAGGCGGGGCCCCTCCTGGCAGGGGGCGTGGCCCCTCCTGACAGAGGGCGGGGCGGCGCGCACCTCCCGCGGCGCAGGGATCTGGGGGCGGGCGGGGTGGAGCGGCCTGGGTTGCATCCCGGAGGAGCGGCGGAGTCCTCGCGTGGGGCGCCGGCTCGCCCCGCCTCGGCTGGCCGGCTCCTCCTGGGCGGCCCCTGAAGGCTCGGGGACGGCGGGAGCGCTCCGCACCAGGGCTGAGCGAGTCCCGCTCCTGCCGGCCGCGGGGGGGCTCCGTGGGGCCCCCGCGCGAGGGCCCTCCCGAGTGGTTCCGGGGTTAGGGTTCACAGGTCAGAGTTGACTCCCTGAAAAGTGCAGGCGCTCCGAAATGCAAGATGGCGGCGGCGAGGCGCTGAGGCGCGGCGGCCCCTGCAGGTAGCAGCGCGAGCCGGCCGGCCGGCCGGCCGGGCGCGCCGGGGCCACGGGCGCGGGGGAAGAGGGGGAGGAAGCCGAGCTCCCGGGAGCTCGCGGCGGCCGGGGAGGCCGAGAGGCGCGGGCAGCTCCGCGGCGGACACCCCCCTCCCGCCCCCGGGGAGACCCAGCCCCCGGCGTCCGTGCGAGCGGCGGCAGCGGCGGACCCGGAGGGACCGGGCCTGCCCCGCGGCGGGAGGAGGACCCGCAGCTCCCGGGGACGCCGCAGCGGGGACGGGGCGCGGGGTTTGGGAGAGCGGCGAGGAGGTTGGGGTGCCGAGGGGTGGGAGCCGGGCTCCGGGGGAGGTGGCGAGCGCCGGCCCCGGGAGGTGGCGTCCGCAGCCAGCGGGGGAGCCGCCGGGGAGCCGCGGAGTGGCATCCCTAAGTGTGGCGCGGTGGGGAGCGAGGCCGGGGCGTCGGGGGAGAAGTCCATCGTGGAGGGTGGGGACGCGCTGTCTCCCTCTGGGGGTGCCGGGGTGCACGGGAAGAGGGGCCGGGGGCACACGGGAGTCGCCAAGCCTCGGGGCTCCAAGGGAACGACCTGCTGCTGACTCCCCGAGGCGGGTGAATGGCGAGGAAGAGGACGTGAGAGGATTGGGGTCTGGTGGCAGGAGAGCCGAGCCCCCGTGTGTGGACACCGAAGTTCCAAGTGGAGGGACTTGCAAGTCTTTGTTTCGGTACTCCCGAGGCAAGGGACGAGCGAAACCGACGAGAGGGACTCCCGTTTGCCATCCTTAGCTTAGGGACCGAGCCCCTGGGAAAAGCTACTTGGGGGACCGATTGCAGGGTGGGAGCATGGCCCGAGTAGAATGTCACCGGCACTTTCCTGTCACCAGCCCTTCTTCAAGACGCAAAACCAAAAACAAACCGACAAGGGGTTCTACCTACTGAGGAGAAACTTGTGAGGAAGGCTGAGTGAGAATTTGTGACGTGCTTAGGGTGGGAGTCCATGTGACTGGAAGACGCGATTCTCTCGGAGGTTAGTGGGATGGCAAATGACAATCCGTAAGAACCCCTCTTCCCCCAGGAAGAGCGAGCGGGGTGTGTGTGTGTGTGTGTGTGTGTGTGTGTGTGTGTGTGTGTGTGTGTTGCGGGGTGATATAAATTGTTTGAGGGGTCGGCCACTGTATCTCGGGCTTTGTCCTAAAGCTTTGGTTTGTGTGCAATAGTAATTAATGCCCTGAAAAAGGCATTGTTTTAAACCAAACCAGTACTGGGGATTACTGAAAGTTTGTTCCAATAGAGCGATTGGCACATAGATTATTTCAGTCTCTAAAGAGGCGGCTCTGACTCCACACTTAGTGAAGGAAAGGTTAAGCGCTGCCAACGACACAAGTTTGGTAACAGGGCATGTAAGGAAAAGGACACCCGTGCATATCTCCCCTTGGCTTTGTCCCCTTCCTGCAAGCATCTTAAGGGCATACAGATGGATTTCAGAAAGTAAAATACATAGTCCTAGATTTTCACACTCCGCTTCAAAACATGGGCCAGGCTGGCCTCGAAGTCAGGGCAGCCCCCTCGCGTCTGCCTCCTCAGTGCTGGGCTGCAAGTGTGTACCACCCTGTCCACTCGTCTTTTACCTGTGTTACTTGGTGTGTGTGTGTGTGTGTGTGTGTGTGTGTGTGTGTGTGCGCGCACATCCTACTGTGTGCACATCCTACTGTGTGCATGAGGACTCACTTCTCTACCCTCTCTGTAGGGCCTGAGGGCCAGACTCAGGCTGTCAAGCTTGATGACAAATGCTTTTACCTGTTGAGCCACCTCGCTGACCCTGATACACAGTGTGTTACAGAATTCATTTATCAATGATTTTTTTGTAGAATTACCTTTGACATGTTCTGTTTGACTGCTTAGATTAAAATGAGAAAGGAGAACCGACACTAGTGACTTGGCTAGCTTAGGATAGTTATGATTCATACAGATGTCCCGAGCTGTACGGCGTTCTTAAAAGAGCTTTCTGTTTTTGGTGGAAGTGTTTTGAAGATACAGGTCAAGTGTAACTAGCTGTGGCTCGGCACTTGGAACACTAGTCTAAGTATGTGCTGTTCCTTGGTTTCCCCACAACGCACCCAGCTCTGGTGTTATACCCAGTTCTGAACAGATTAGTCTGGCAAAGCGGAGAGGCACAGATGCCAGATGATTTGAAAATATGCTAAGGCTGAAAACACAAATGTGTCTGCGTGGAAGATGCTCATCGCTGGTTTCTTCTCCCTCACAGCCGAGCTTGCCTTCCACTGGGCTGGAGGGTAGGACATGAAGGATGCCACAGGAGCCCCGCCTTTCACGAGTCTTGCTTTTGCTGAAAAGCAGCAGAGCCGTTTACTGAAAAAGGTCATTGCAAAGGTGCAGAGGCTTGCTTTGAAGTTTTTCTGTTTTGTTTAATTCACATTCAGATGGGAAGCTGATGTGGCGTCGTATTTTCTTCTTTATTGTCATGCACTTTTAAAAATCATTGTATTTGCATTTGGGCGGTTTGCCCACATGTGCTTGTGCACCATGGTGCACTGCCCTCAGAGGCCAGGAGGGGGCGCTGGGTCCGCTGGAGTGGGTTACAGACAGATGTGACCCACCACGTAGGGCCTAGGGATCCTTTGGGAAGTAGCCAGTTCTCCTAAAGTGCAGAGCCCGTGCTGCAGCCCAAGCGTTCTTTTTACTTTGCTTCTTAGTTAAAAAATGTGCTTAGTCCCCACATTGTATTATTTTACATTGAACAAAAGACGTAATAGTTGAGACTTAGTTTACTGTAAGTTATGGTTTAATGCTTAAGTGAAAATGCTATTAAAATAATTAAATTGGCCAGTGGTGGTGGCCCACACCTGTAACCCCAGCACTTGGGAGGCAGAGGCAAGAGCATCTCAGTGAGCTCGAGACCAGTTTGGTCTACAAAGTGAGTTCCAGTACAGCCAGGACTGTTACACAAATAAACGCTGTCTCGAAAAACAAATATACAAAAAAATTAAGTTGATCACAAATATAGTTGCAGAAATAGCCTTTTTATTTATGTTTTACCATTGTAGATTTGGGTTCAAAAGACCCTGCTTATTTGAACTTTAAATGTGTTGAAAGTTCAGTACTAAGCTAGTTTTAGTTAAGCATTGTAGTCAATGCAGTTATTCAGGAGGGGGCTTGGATTGTTGTATTGTTTAGGATAATAGCTAATATTACCCATATTTGTCTGTGTGTGTGCGCAGATGAATGTGTGTGCGTGCGTGTGCAGGGGTGTGTGCGCAGATGAATGTGTGTAGGTGCATGTGTGTGTGCACGCGCATGCATGTGCAGGTGCATGTGTAGGGGCATGTGTGTGCATGTGTGTGTAGATGAATGTGTGTGTAGGTATGTGTGTGCATCCATGTGCAGGTGTGTGTGTGCATATGAATGTGTGTGTGCATGCATGTGCAGGTGCATGTGTGCGCGCGCATGTGTGTGCAGATGCACAGGTCAACACTGGATGCCTTTCTCAGTCACTCTCTCCCTTATTTGTTGAGATAGAGTGTTTCATTGAACCTGGAGCTTGCTGAATTGGCTAGGCTGGCCGGCCAGCAAACCGCAGGGATCCCTTGTTGCCCCTCCATTGTGGGGACTATGGTGGAGCCTGTATCCAGGCTTTTTACGTAGGTGCTGAGGATGGAGGGCAGGTGCTCACGCTTGTGCAGGAAGCATTGCCACCTCAGCGTCTCCCAGCGCTATCTGCGTTAAAAATCACCATACTGTTTGCAGTGTGGTAAGCATATTTACTGTCAATTGTTTTCAAAAATAAAGTTCTTTAAAATCATCCTCTGTAATCTTAAAAGTAATCTAAACTGTGTTTATTTCTAGAGCTTTGATACTGGTTCTTGAATGACAACTACTGTTTTTGTAATATCACTGTTTTTATATTTTTTTGTATCCTTGTTGCTCTGAAATATCTGTAGTCATAAAAATCAGATTTGCCTGAATAATGTTGGTGACTTAGATACTAATCATAATTTACATTTGAGTTTACATTTTGGAAATATGTATTTTATAAGACTTTTATGTAAGTATACAAAAATTTTATGTACTTACTGGCTTTTGTTCATTAAAATTTTTTTCTTTTACCTTTTGACTTTTTGAGCAGTCTCATTGTATTAACTCAAAAGGGCAATAAAATTATAATGTAAGAGCTGGAGAGATAGCTCAGAGGTTAAGAGCACCGACTGTTCTTCCAGAGGACCTGGGTTCAATTCCCAGCTCCCACTCACACTGCCTGTAACTCCAACACCAATACACATAATCTAGAAAATAAGTAGACTTTTAAAAATTTGAAACTGAGTGAGGTGGCTCACACCTTTAATCCCAGCACTCCTGAGGCAGGGGCAGGTGCTCTCTGAGTTTGAGGCCAACCTGGTCTGCAAAGTGAGTTCCAGGACAACTAGGATTATTACACAGAGAAACCCTGTCCAAAAAAAAAAAAAAAAAACCACCAAAACAAACAAAAAACCCAAAAAACAAAAACAAAAAAAAATTGAAACGTAAACCAAGTTTGTCTTCAATTATCCTCAATAAGTACTGGGATTCCAGTTGTACACCACCATGCCTGGCTCAGATTTTGTTTTTAAAAGGTATTTAATCTTGGCATTTTATATACGTAGTATTCTTTTTTTTTAAAGTAATTTATTTAACTTTATTGTATGTGCACTGGTGTGAAGGTGTCAGATCTCCTGGAACTGGAGTTACAGAAAGTTGTGAGCTGCCCTGTGGTGCTCCAAACTGCTGAGCTATCTCCTCAGGCCTATTTCATCAATATTCTTTAATATATTTAAGAGTTAGAAGACATACACAGGCGCGCGCGTGCACACGCACACACATACGCGCGCGCGCGCGCACACACACACACACGCACACGTGCACGAATGTGATATGTACCTTTGTCCTAAACAACTACAATGATAAATTTCTAGGAAACAAATATATATGGGCAATTTTAGTATGACATTTGTTCAAGGAATTCAGCTGAATAAATGTTTCTGCCCAGGCTGTACTGGAACTTCCTGTCCTCCTGCCTTCTGAGTGTTGGAATTACAGACATGTGGCTGAGTTTGAATACCTCTTTCTTTGAGAGGGCATCTTGTAGCCCAGGCTGGCCTCAAGCTACAAGGAGGACATTAAGCTGGTCTTCCTGATTCCACTTGGTAGAAGCTGTAGCCTTACAGTTGGTTCTGTGAGGTCCGGTTTGTGTTGTGCTGGGACTGAGTTCAGGCTTTGTGCATGCTGTGTGTGTTACTATACTGACTGCTTCCCTGGGTAGATTATTTCTGCAGTTTTTAGATTTAGAGTTCTAAAAAACAAGGTCGTTAGAACTTCACTGGCCAAGTGGTAATGGCGCATGTTTTTAATCCCAGCACTCGGGAGGCAGAGGCAGGCAGATCTTTGTGAGTTGGAGGCCAGCCTGGTCTACAGAATGAGTTCTAGGACAGCCAGGGCTACACAGAGAAACCCTGTGTTGAAAAACAAACAACAACAACAACAACAGCCCCCTCCCCCCCAAAACCAAAAACCACTTCACTGGGCATGGGCTGTATTTGTGAGTGTAAAGGTTAGCAAGAACAATTTCTCCTCATTACTGTAAGATTATTTTTATGTACTTGTATACGGAGTTCAGTTACGACATATTTGTCTACTGTTAAAGCCAACTTTTATTAAAATATAAAGATTATAAATGGGGAATACAGTGTACTGATTGACTGTTACCCAGGTTTTAAACATATTTTTTTAGCACTGATCCAATTTGAAACAAAGACTTCTTTTATTATGTAACTTGACAGTAATACCATAACTTAAATCCAAACAAAATTCATTGTGCTCTTACTAAGTCCCAGAAAATAGTTTAAAAACTAAGCACACTACTTCTCCAATCCTGATAGTAGCTCAGTTATCAAATTACTGTCATTTGCTCCCCCTTACAGATGAGGAGGCTGAGGCCTGGCTTGTCTCTGTAGAACCAGGGAGGTAGTGAGCAGCTGTGCTGGGATTTGAATCCAGCTTGTTCCAGGCTTTCAGGTCTTTATAGCTATTGCCAGAACAGCTTGTTCCTTTTATTATATAACATACATGGTTGAGCTCTTTCTTTTCTGAAACTCGCTCACCCTAAATTTAAAAACATCTCCGAGTTAGAGAGAAGTGTCCTCACGGAGCTCTGTGGACGGGAATAGCTTCAGACAGACGCGATCTCCCTCCAGAAGACTCTTGGACAGCTCATCTGGTGTGCCTCTGCTGCACTGTGCCCTCCCGTGTCTTGGCAGCTCATCTCCAGAGAGCCACCATTGGTGCTGGTTTCCTACAGTATTAATAATTCACTGTGTGAAGCACCTCCCTCTCGGGCAGCTGTTTTCCGTTTCCTAGTTGCGTCCTGCCGATGGATGTGGCTGAATCTGGAGGCACTGGGAAGCAAACTGGGGAGTCACAAGCGATAAGGGGAGTGCAGAGCTTCCCTGGCTCTGCCAGCAAAATGCTCTTTTACTCCTCGTGACGTGGGGAAGTTATCTGGCCTAAGCTTGTACTCAACTTAGAAGTTTACAAGTGGATGCTTTGTTGGGCGGTGGTGGCACACGCCATTAATCCCAGCACTCGGGAAGCAGAGGCAGGCGGGTCTCTGTGAGTTCTAGGCCAGCCTCGTCGACAGAGTGAGTCCCAGGACAGCCAGGGCTACACAGAGAAACCCTGTCTGGAAAAACAAAAACAAAACAAAGAACATAAGTGGATATTTTAATATATTTACATTATTTCTTAAGAGGACTTTTTATAAGCTTGTATGTTAACATTAGCAGGAATAAGAAGGTAAGGTATTTGAGAAAATAAAAGATGATTTTCTGGCTTTCTGTGTTTTAGAGTATCTGTACTTTAAAAACAGCAAAAAATGTTTTCACCTTCAAAAGCACTGCTGTTATTCTAATAAAACAAGCAGTTGCAGTTTTTATTAAAGTTTTCCAAGTAGATTAGGTACTCTTGGAAATACACCAAAAATTTTTAGAGATTAGTTTGAATTTTCAGAGAATGATGAATTTAAACAAATTTTTGTATATGACAGGGTCTCTCACTATGTAACTCTGGTAGCCTGGCAATTGTTATGTAGACCTAGCTGCCCTTGGACTCATAGAGATCTAACTGCCCAAGTGCTAGGTTAAAGCCTTTCACTACCATGGGGGCAATTCTAATTTTTTGATTACACAACACCCCAAAATGATATTTTGTAGAAACTTTCTAATTAAAAGCTCTCATGACTTTAATGTGAAATGTCCCAGTAGGCTAATGTGTTTGAAGACTAGGGATGGTGCTATTCTGAGAGGTTGTGCACCTTTAATAGGTAGGGCCTAGCTGATCCTTCCCAGGTAATGGATGTGAGCAAGTCTTCTCATGTGCTTGTAGCCATGAATGCTGACATGCTTTCCCCACTATAAAACTGGGAGCCAAAAGAGGCCCTTTTCCCTTTATGTTGCTTCTGTCACTTACTTTGTCACAGTAGCATTTTGGAATTTTATTGAAAATAATATAATAGCTACAGGGTTGTTCTGTATAAGTAGATTTTTAGAGCACCTTTAAAATTCTGTGTTTTCTATCAATATTGAGTTCAGCATTTACAAATATATATGTGTATATGTATATAAATGTCTATGAGGAAATAAGTCTTCCCTCAGAATTAAAACATTTTTAAAAAGCCAAAACCTAACTGTAATAGTTAATAGGTTTAAGTAACACTTAGAATGCTACAATAATAGTGTTTTTCTTTCGTAGGACAGGACTGCTGGCTACTTTGGGACTGTCTGTGCTGATGGCCTGAGACAAGTGCCTCATTTGAAAGATAACCGTCCGCTCTGGTGAGCAAAACTCTGAGGAAGCTATGGCAGGTATGTGTGCATTATTCAAGCTGGGAAAACCAGTAGAGGCGCACTCGCTTACCAGTCCACAAAACTCTGTGGCTGACGTTTGCAAAGCTGCCTCTACTTCAGACTCCAATCTTAAGATAATAAAATATAAAAGAGAGTCATTCTCTTTATTAAAGAAAAAGCTTTCCTTTCCTTAAAACAGCATCTGAGGGCTGGGGAGTGGCTTTGTGGTGGCTCAGAACACTTACTGCCGGGCTGTGGTGGCGCACGCCTTTAATCCCAGCACCCAGGAGGCAGAGGCAGGTGGATCTCCATGAGTTCCAGGACAGCCAGGACTACATAGTGGGACTCGTGTCAAATTGCCCCCACCCAAAAAAGAGCATTTATTGTTTTTTTAGAGGACCTGAGTTCAGTTCCCAGCACCCATCAGTGGAAATCAGATGTCACCGTCATCTTCTGTGGAACCTGCACATGTGGCATATATGTGCACCATGTAGGTGCAGGTGCCTGTGCAGGCCAGGAGAGGGTGTCAGGTCCCGCTGGGAGTGGAGTTACAGGTGGTTGTGAGCTGAGAACCAAACCTGAGGCTTGTGCAGGAACAGCAAGTGCTCTTAACGCTGAGCCGACTCTAGTCCTATTTATAGTTTACTTTTTAACTCATATTTTCCCAAGTCTGCCCCATGTCGGGCACTTCACCAGGTACTCTAATAATGCAGTGCACAGGCAGAGAGACATCATCCTGGGGGATGTGGGGACATTGACCTGAGCATTTGACCACTCCCCTGTCTATAGTTTAAAATGTAAGCAGGCATGGTAGCACATGCCTCTAATGCCAGAACTAAAGGGAACCTCTTGAGTTTGAGAGAGGCCTGTTCTCCATAGCAAATTCCAGGCCTGCCAGGGTTGTGTAGTGAGACCTGTCTTAAACACAAAACAAAACACAATTCAAGGCCAGTGAAATGGCTCAAGTTTGTCTCTAACACCCTCACTGTAGAAGGAAAGAGCCAACTCTTGCCAGCTGATCTTTGATATTCACTCGTTTTCTGTGGCACACATGCTCACAGACTGAAAATAGGGGCTGGAGATATGGCTAGGCAGTTAAGAGCACTGGCTGCTCTTCCGGCTGACCTGGGTTCAGTTCCCAGCACCCACATGGCTCCTCATAACTGTCTGTAACAGAGCATACAGACATACATGTAGGCAAAACACCATTGCATATAAAATAAACCTTAAAAATGAAATATAAAAATAACTTCAAGACATAAATACCTGAAAATATATTGTAAATATACAGGCCACTAGTAATAGTGAATCATAATTATGCAGATTAGGGTGGTTTATATTAGCCATACCAATTTTAAATATTTAACTGTATTTTACACTCATATATTTTATCTAATTTTGGCTTTTACATGAAACATTAGGTTATATACTATATGCTTGAAATAGTTTAGTACAGTTATTTTAAATATTTTTAAAAATCAAATTAATATAGCCTCAGTGACATTGGTAATAGTTGCCTTATTTTATAAACAGGAACTATAATGGACAGATGGATGATTTTCCAGCTTCTTAAGGATAGCCCAACTCAGATCTAAGAATAGCACTCTTGTGTGAAAGACATAGCACACCTTATTGCAAACACTAGGGAAAAATTGTCTGCCGAAGACAAGCACTTATGGGTCACATTAGCATACTATCAACAAGTCAGTTTTCATGGTAGAGCTAGTTTATGTCACTTAGTGTAGCATACCCTCCTGACTCACATCGGGTATGCAAACTGGGCTGTTACTGTCCTAGAGACATTTTCTTCCTTGAATCTGGGATCAGACCTTTATAGTAGGAACCTGTCCAACTTGAATTCTCTAGTCTTCAGTGTCATTAATGTCCTGTCTCTGGTAACAGTGAGAGTTTTGTACCTTTTCAGCTGTCATTAGCATTAACAAAGGCATCCTCTGAAATTAGCCTTTGCATTTGACATATCATTTCTGTCTTTCTATTCACTTTAATACTGGACTTCTTTTGGTTTTGACATTTTCTTGACATTTATCTTTTAGGTAAGGATTCTAAGTGCTAGTAATATTTTAAAAAATGGATTGTGTCTTAGGGTTTCTGTTGCTGTGAAGAGACACCTTGACCACAGCAACTCTTATAAAGAAAAACATAGTTGGAAGTTTCTGTCCCACCTGGTCATGCAGCCATTTAGTCCCAAATAAACACACAGAGGCTTAGATTAATTAAAAACTTTTTGGCCAATGGCTCAGGCTTCTTATTGGCTAGCTCTCTCTTAATTATTGACCCCTTTCTATTAGTCTGTGTATCTCCATGTGGTCTTGGCTTACCGGTGATGCCCAGGTCTCTTGCTTCCTTGGCAGCTCCATGACATCTTCCCGACTCCACCTACTACCTTTCTCCCTGTTTGAATTTCCCACCTGGCTACATCCTGCCTGCCCATTGGCCAAAACAGCTTTATCCATCAACAAGAGAAACATATTCATAGCATACAGAAGGACATCCCCCTTCAGAAAACATTTAGTTGAAGTGGCAGCTTACAGGTTCATAGTTCAGTCCGTCATCACCGTGGCAGGAAGCATGGCAGCCTGCAGGCAGACAGGGTGCTGACTTCATCCTGAGCAGAAGGCAGCAGGAAGGACTGTGTCACTGGGTGGAGCTCAAGCGTAGGAAACCTTAAAGCCCACCCCCACAGAAGAGCCACACCTCCTCCCAGTGCCACCCTATGGGAGTGTGGGGGGGGCAGTTACATTCAGACTGCCACACTGGTACACAATTGTGTTGTCAGGTTCCTAGTTTAGTATTTTTAAGAGCTGGACTATTTAAGTGTTTACATTTTAAATGTGAAGATGCGTTACATATATGGCGGCCACTGTCCCTTTCTGCATGTGTGCAGACCTTTCATTTTCATTGGATCCCATCATTCTTTGTGTATTATTTTAAGCATTTTGTGGTCTTACTGAATTTGTAATTTTTACTTTGATTGTGAAAGTAAATATTTACAGCTAACCAGATAGAGTAGTTCTGACTCAAAGAAAAAGGGAAACTAAATGGAACATAGAATTCTGAGAATTCTCAGGAAATCTATATTAATGAAGATTCCTAAGGATTCCTAGTGCATATAATTTTGGCTTCTTAAGAACAGTTTTATTGGCCTGGAGAGGTGGATCAGAGGTTAAGAGCACTGGCTGCTCTTCCAGTGGACCCAGGTTCAATTCCCAACAGACAAATGGCAGCTCACACCTGTCTGTGACTCCAGTTCCAGTGAATTTAGTACCTTCACACTGACATACATGTGGACAAAGTACCAGTGTACATAAAAATAAATAAAATCTTGAAAAGAAAGTAAAATACCACTTTTATTCATTTATTATTTGGTTGTGAATAATAAAATATTAAAAATAAGAAACTAAATAAAAATAATAAATATATTTATATAAAATAATAAAAACTAAATAAAATTAACAAATAAATGAAACTTATTATTTAGTTATTATTTGTTTATTTAAGTGACACTAGATAAAAATTAATACAAAGCTAAGAAACCATAGCATCTTCTAAAATGTTTTTATTTGACCCAGATTTAGTGTGAAAATATTATTTTTATTCATATACAATCTTAACAAAATAACGTCTTTTGTGGCTAAGTAGGCGATTATACTATTGTCTGTTAATCATTTAATTTAAAATCCAAGACATCCAAAAAGAATTGGAAATTCAGTACAGCTATAACCCTGTCTAGTTTACAAACATTTTAAGAACATTTATCATTTTTACTAGAAGCACAGAATCTAGTTACTTTAACTTGTTAGTATTTACTCCTATGAATATGTGTGTTTTCCTGTGTGTGTGTGTGTGTGTGTGTTTGCACCACGAGTGCGTCCATGCCTGGGGAAGCCAGAGAAGGCCTTTGAATCCCCTGGGACAGAAGGACAGATGTTTGTGAGTCCCCAACATGGGTTCTCTTGAAGAGCAACCAGAGCTTTTAAACACTGAGCATCTCTCCATCCCAAATCTACTCCCTTCCCATATGAAAAAAGCTATTTTTTAATATTGTGAAACTGTATTTTATCATTATAGTTTTTTTTTTACAGAGCAGAAGTCATGATTCTAAGTACAAATTATATTTGCTGTTGTTGCAAGAATTATGCTGTTTTCTTTTCTTTTTTTGAGACAGTGTTTTTCTCTGTGTAGCTTTTGGAGCCTGTGCTGGAACTCACTCTGTAGACCAGGCTGTCCTTGAACTCACAGAGATCTGCCTGCTTCTGCCTCCCGAGTGCTGGGATTAAAGGCGAGTGCCACCACCACCCAGCAACTATGCTGTTTTCAGTTGAATTCCTCTGCAGAAAAAGTCCTTTGAATGTTTTTTCCTCTCTTGTTTCACTCTTAGTCTGTAAATTATATACACTATTCATATATAAAACTCATTTATTACTAGTAAAATTTAGATGTCAGCAAATGTTTATTGAATGTTGACTGTTACATTTTAGTAAATGGCATGCTTTAGATTGGGGAGTATTTTCATATTCTGATGACTAATGAAACTTTTATCAGTATGGGCTTATTACAGGTAACCTGTAAAGTAAAACAAGGTGTTTTTTAATAGTTCTTCCGCAAGTGTGCATTTAGAGAAGTGAAATACACTTGTGCTCGTTTGCACACACACCTATTAAAGGTTTCTAAAATTTTGTGTGTATGACTGTTTTGTTTGTATGTCTGCTTACCACTTTCGTGCTGACTCCCACAGAAACTAGGCGAGGGCACCAGATCCCCTAGGACTGCATTTACAGACGGATGTGAGCCACCGTGTGGGTGCTAGAATTGACTGGGGCCCTTGGAAGAGCACCAGTGCTCTTAACTGCTGCGCCATCTCTCCAGACGCCTCCACAAACTTTTTGAGACAGGGTTTCATGTATCCCAAGGTCCTTCTGTGGGCAGGGATGACCTTGAGTTTGGAACTCTCACCTTCTACTTCCAGAGTGCTGGGCTACAGGTGTGTGCCACCATGA